CTCTCTCTCTCTCTCTCTCTCTCTCTCTCTCGTTCGCTTCTTCTACTTACTACTCCGCCCCCGAATATCGGAACCGTGACGAGAAAAACGTGGGGAAAAAATGTCGGCGACACGTTTGACGAGACGGTATTTTTAAATCCTCCGCATTTCCAACTTCCGCATCTACCGAAGGTACATTTATGTAAGAAGTCTTTATCCTTCATTTTATCATTTCATTATCCTAATATTAACATTAAAATTTCTTTCAATTCCTGTTGTTGATTATTTCATTTTACACCCGCCCCGTTCCCTCCACCGATATATCCCCAATTCCAATCAAAAACTATACAGATCAACATTGCAACTTCAGCTAAGATTTAACTCAAGTCAAGATCAAAGATAAATCGGAACTAATGGCCAACTTGGGCGTGAAATCCTCCGCGAGAAAGGGAGGAAGAGGAAGAAGAAAAAGAAGAAGAAGAAAAAAAAAACCATGCTTTCTAATAAACCGAACGACCGCGAGCCAGCTTGCGGAAAGTTGAATGGATACGTTTGGTGGACGTAAGAACGGGCGCAGGCTGCATAGAGAACTTCCAGTTCTCGCGGATCCGAGCCGATAAGGAAAAGGAAAGGCCTGGCTTGTAGGTAAAAGCTACAAAAATCGTACAAACTGGCAATTATTTATATGTGGACGGTGGACCATAAAGTATGTAATTAGTCAAAAAAAATGCGCAAGTCTGGTGTATAGGTGGTTTGTTTGGTGACGGCGGAGATGCGAGCGCCACGAGGCCGCCACGGGGCGGCAGGGGGATTTTTCACCCGGTGGCTCACGGCCTGCAGCGAGCATCGCCTCCTGCAAAGTCACGGCAGTGAAATTTAGTGCCCCGCCACTAAATTTCTCAGGTATTCCAATATATTCCGCGGTGCGTATCTACCTGTTCCGCGCCTCTTCTCGCTCCCTCCCTCTCTCTTTCTCACTCTCACTCGCTCTCTCTTTCCGTTTTCTTCGTCTTTTCTTTTGCCTCTACGTCTCTAGCGGGTTCCCTTCGTGTTCCGTTCGCCCAGTTTCCTCTCGCTCGCTCGCTCGCGCATCCCTCCGCGGTTGCTCCCAAGTTTCCCTTTCTCTGTCCGTCTCTTTTTTCCCTCACCGTTTCGCCGTTTCTGTCTGATTAACGCTCGCGAGGCGAGCGAGCGAGTTCACGTGAGACGAGCGTTTGTTGCACACGCTCGACTTTAAAAGAAAAGGCACGAAATGAGGATGGGCGTTCCCACCGGAGTTATTAATGGCTTTGACTTCGTTGCTATGGATATCCATAAG